GAATAAGTATGCTCCACAAGCACTAGAACGCGCTCCAAAAGCCAATTCCAAAATTCAAGGGTTAGCAGTTCAAGAAAAGAGAGCAGTCGTAGTCCCAAATCAAAAGAAAACCTCAACACCCGTGGAGGCTAAGACGCAAGCTGATCTTTTTGAGGAGTTAACCAAGAACTTTAAAAATCAGAAAATGGAGGCTAAATCAACATCTCAACCAAAGAAGGTCCCTGAACAAATTGTAGTTCACAAGCAAAGCCGACAACTATCAATTAAATCAAGCGGTGAACCAAAGCAATGTAAGTCTTCTATTGTTTCTAAATCCAGGGGAGTTACTTGTTATAACTGTCGTAAGAAAGGACATTTAGTTGCAACTTGCCCTGAAAAACTTGAGCTTACTAATACTTCATTAGAATCGAAACTGAGCTCACCAAACTCAAGTAGTGAAGTAATTTGTCGAGGTTTAGAAAATTCCAGTTCTTGTTTCCTGCACTTGTTCTTGTCAAAGAATGTTGATTCAGGTCATACATCGAAGCATGAGAATGACAAAACTGGAGAAGCCATAAAGGAGAGACCAATTTGTCTCGAGAAGGAAATGTCTTTTCAAAAGCCAGAACCAAAGCAACTGTTACCAATCTGCAAAGAATTCATGATGCTGCAAGAAAGTGATGTGAACAACATCAAAGAGAACATGGAGATTCAACTACATCTAGCAGTTCAAGATCAGGAAAACGTAACTCGCAAGGAAAAGCAAACTGAAAACAAAACAATGGAGCAACTTGCCTTACCCAGGGAGTTCTTAAAAGCTAATTGTGATATTCCTTTTATTCAATCAAATGTTGCGTCTGAAAAGACTTGTGGAAAACTAACTAGCTTAGGACCGGAGCAAGCGAGTAGTGTTGTTTGTTTTTCGCAGGTTCAAGAAAAAGAAACGTCTGAAACAACGCAAAGGAGTTGGCCATTGAGTAATAATTTGGATCACACCAGCTTTGTGCCAAAACCAGTTCCTATACCATTTCCTTGTGACTACACACGAAAGCACTGTAAGGAAATTGATATGGTTAGGAAATATCCTAATTTGTTTGTGTTGATTTCTGCTCAAGATGAAAAACGTTTTGGTTTAGAAAATGCGAAGGAATTTTGTGTTTCAAAAACTGCTTTTGATAAAATCATTCCGACTTTTGAAACTCTCACACTTGAAATGTTATTTGAGCCAAAAGGTTTTCTCTTCGATGAGTTTTTTGAATTGAGTTCTTCTTTGAGAGATTCTTTGTGTAGCAATGAAATTGAGATGTTCCGAACTAAAACTGAGAATGTATTGGTTAAATCTTTATCTGAAATGTTTCATTTGCTTGAAAATGTGCTGTGTGAATCAATTTTGTTCAAAGATCTTTGCAAACCAACTATGAAAGATCATGTTATTGATTTCTCTATTCCAAGTATCATGCATTTGTTCTGTCCCATAAGTGCTCAGAAAGGAACAGGTGACATGGAGAAGTATAAGTACTTTAGAAAAGCACTCACATGTTTTATTCAAGTCAAAGAGAATCTACCAGATAGCTACAAAAGAAAGACTTATCATTGTGGAATCTGGAGCTGGAAGTACCTGAGGAAAACAACTTCAATCGCCCAAGGATGCTTCATTCTAAGATTCTACTTTCATTCTAACTGCTTAATGTTTTTCTTTGTGTCTAAACAGTTTCCTTTTGATGTAGGAGATCTTGCCATCTTACAGTCAAACTCGAATCACCAAAAAGTAGTCAAGCCTTCTTCAAGGTTCAAAGATAAACCGCCTGATGCAATACTTGTGCTCAAATACAACTATGATAAGATAAGTATCTTTATTCTCAAGGATTCTTTTTTTCAAGATTACACAGAGTTGATTCGCTTGTCTTTGTCAAAAGAGCCAAATGCTGTTTTTAAGGCACTCTTCAAGCGCTTGAGAAGAACTGAAACAAGAGAGGGAGACAATCGGTTTAAGCCACCCAATCTGGACCAGAATAAACACCAAGACATGAGTGGTTTCATTCTGATCAAAGAAGTACCACCCGATGCAACATACAAGCTAAAGCCGAGCTTCAACAAATTTGGAGGGAGAAGATATCAAAAGGCGGAGAACATGACCGTGCAAGATTATATTCTGCAACATTCTGAGTTCTCATTGTGCAAGATAGCCTCTAGAGAGGATAAGTTGGTCATCACAAACGCATTGATCAAAGAAGAACCCCCATATCCAAAAATGATGACAAACACCGAACAAGTCAAAGATCCTATCCAGGTAAGTAATTCCTCGACTCGATTTATTCCTCATGATTTAAGGGCTATGATTATAATTTTATTACATCAGGAAATCATTGAGAATAAATCATGCTTATTGAATGAATATTTGGAATCAAATTATTGTCCTAAGGTGCAACTAAAAGATGAAGATTATGAGGATATTGATTTAGTCCAAGCTGAGATTTGTTTGCATGTTTATAATGACTTCATGACTGTAATAACACACTTGTTCTTGGTCAAAGGTTTTGAAAACATTGCAGGTACAAAAGAGGAGCCACCAGATTTAGAAGTTCTCTCACTGAATCTCTTTGTGAGGACAGGAATTGGAGATGTTTTCACGCAGGATAAAAAACCTTATGCTCGTTTCAGGATGATTTTTGAGGTTGGAGAACAAGTATGGGTACACTTGAGGAAGAAAGGATTTTCAGCTAAAAGGGAATCCAATCTAATCCCAAAGATCGATGGTCAATTCAACATAGCAAGCCAAATCAACAACAAAGCTTATGAACTTGAGCTGCAAGGTAAGTTTAATATGAGTTCCCGTTTAAAAGTTATTGACTTGGTTCTTTTCATTGTAGATGAATTGGATTTGAGGTCAAATCCTTTTCAAGAGGGAGAGGATGATATGATCATGCCTAGCACATCGAACTTGGAACTTCACAAAGAGCTTGTAGCCGAGGAGGAGCTTGAAGTAGAGGAACAACTCGAAGCTAAGGAGTCGTTTGAATCAGATAATGAGCTTATAGCAGAGAAAGAGTATGGAAAAGATGTTATCTTAACCTCAATGGTTTTGATACATGATCACCAAATGGGAATGTGTCTCATTTGTACTCTTTTTCCCTTGTCAAGTTTTGTCCCAATGGGTTTTCTTGACAAGGTTTTTAATGAGGCAAATGATTCACATTCAAATCACCCATTTGTTGATCCAAACCATGAAAATACACTCATAACTTGGCCGAATGGAATATATATCAAGTCCAGCTTGTTTTGTGCCTATTACAAGCCCAAGAAGAGCCCAAACCAAGTGAGTAATTTGCTGGCCAAGAGGAGTGACGAAAATAAGTAGTTGAAGAGTCATTTCTATTCAAACTCTATCTTTAATATTTTGTTATTTCCAAGGTAGTCTTGTGAGTGTGTTCCAAGACTTCCTTCTTCTTTATAAACCCCTTGTAATCTCTTTTGAGAACTCATCTAATCTTTTATCAAAAACTCTTTCTAAGTTAGATCACTCTCTCTTGTTCTTTCTTTGGTGTGTAATATCCATAGGCAAGTCCAAGTTCGGTAAATCAAAGGATCTTCCGCAACCTTTGTGCGACCATTCGCTCCACATCATTTGATCTAAGAGATCCCCCGATCCCTTAGGTGCAAAGCCTACCCTTACTTCAACTTCAAGAGTGTCGATTCTAGGAGAAACATATTACCATAAAAAAGGCCCGAAAGTACTTAGAGCTAATACAGAAAGTCGGGAATCAAAAAAAGGACCGGAAGAACATAGATCTAATACGCAAATTCGGGGATCATAAAAACTAACTAAAAGAACTTAGAGCTAATACGGTCAGTCGGGGATCATAAAAACGGACCGAAAGAACTTAGAACTAATACGCAAAGTCGGGGATCATAAAAACGGACCAAAAGAACATAGAGCTAATACGCAAAGTCGGGGATCATAAAAACGGACCGAAAGAACTTAGAGCTAATACGCAAAGTCGGGGTTCATAAAAACGGACCGAAAGAACTTAGAGCTAATACGTAAAGTCGTAGATCATTAAAACGGACTGAAAGAACTCAGAGCTAATACGCAAAGTTGAGGATCATAAAAACGGACCGAAAGAACTTAGAGTTAACACGCAAAGTTGGGGATCATAAAAACGGACAGAAATAACTTAGAGCTAATACGCAAAGTCGGGGATCATAAAAACGGAGCGAAAGAACTTAGAGTTAATACGCAAAGTCGGGGATCATAAAAACGGACCGAAAGAACTTAGAGCTAATACGCAAAGTCGGGGATCAGAAAAACGGACCAAAAGAACTTAGAGCTAATACGCAAATTTGGGGATAATAAAAACGGACCAAAAAAACTTAGCGCTAATACGCAAACTTGAGGATCATAAAAACGGACCGAAAGAACTTAGACCTAATACGCAAAGTCGGGGATCATAAAAACAGAACGAAAGAACTTAGAGCTAATACGCAAAGTCGGGGATCATAAAAACAGTCCGAAAGAACTTAGAGCTAATACGCAAAGTCGGGGATCATAAAAACGGACCGAAAGAATTTAGAGCTAATACGCAAAGTCGGGGATCATAAAAACGGACCGAAAGAACTTAGAGCTAATACGCAAATTTGGGGATCATAAAAACGGACCG